AACCTGGGAAACATGTCCACAACGTTTTTCACATCGTAATATAACATTTCATCATATATTAAAGTTACGACGCTTCTCATACTACACTAACTTGGAGATACATTTTTTTTTGCGTTTGGAAAACACAGCTGCAGTGTCTACTTGATGATGTCCTTGCTCTGGCCTGGGTACCATCCTCCATAGTCCATGGTAACTACGGAAGACGGCACCCAGGCTGCCGACGCTCTACGGAACTCAAGAGCTCAGTACAGTGTAGACTCATAAATGCCGTAAAAGGCCAGCATGTGCCGACTGTCGTAAAAGTCGCTATGTACTACCACAAATTCACAATGCCAGCTTTGTATTCCTGTGGTTTAGTAGCATTTTTTGGCTGGAATTTTTTCATTAGCCCGCGCCCACTAGTTTCGGGGTCTTCAGAGGTTGTCACCCATAAGATTGCCAGTGTGGCCTTACCAGTATGAATGGACTATCCTGCGGCTCCAGAGGTGACACGTGTAGCCCGTGTACGTGCAGGTTGGTGTTGTTGGGATGGCGGGGAACGTTGTTCGGTCGGGCTTCCTGATCCCCTCCCAACTCATTTATCTACAGAGATACGTTTGATGAATATTAAAGATACAAAGTCCTACTATAAATCCCCCCTACTATAAAATTGCAACATGATGTAACCCGCACTAGTTACCATGGTAACAGACAGTCTGGTTCAGGTAATCGACCTTTTTTTGGTTTGGAGAAGAAGAAGAAGAGGAAACGTATCTATAACGTTCGTACCAGTTTAATGTTGAGTGTGTCCCCCGCCCGGACCCTAAGTGTAGGTCCGGGCATCTTCCCGTTATACAGTCGGCGTGGGAACGTGAACCAGTCAATCGTGACGTCACCGATGTCAACCGTCAACGTCACGTTCAGACGCGTCTCGTTCCCAGAGTAGTGCTCATCCGGGCGTACAAGGTCATTGCCAACTGTGAAAAGAACCGTCATGTATAGGTGTTTCACACATCTTACACTGGTGGGCATTTTGTGTGTGGAACGTTACAGTAGTAGAGCTTCATACTGTGCAGTATAGTATAGTGTAGTACAGTACAGTTGTAAGTTTTTTATATATCCTTTAGTAGTAAGATAAAGTAATAGAAAATGATTGCAACATCGTTTCATATAATTTGTACAGATTTTCTAAAAACTTTTTTCTTTGGTTGAAATGACAAATGAGTTGCCTGGTGCGTGTATACGAATTTCAGGTGAACTGAAAACAATACGTTAAAACAGGTTTCTAGAAAAGGCCTTGTTTTGTGTCCCGGGGGCAACATTATATCTTCAGCCATCCCCCTTTTGTTCAGCACATTAAGGTTGTCAGCACGCGTCATAACTCGTCTTAAGTGGCTGAGACGGTATGGACACCTCAACACTATTAGCCCATATGGATGACATCCGCGCGCGTATGAATTTTCGGCCGTTTCCAAAAAAAAAACCGTTTCAGACCACACTGTAAATCGTACAAAGTAGCTGCAAAATGAGCAAATACATGCCGTAAATTGAAATTACGAAACTATACAATTTTCTCATTTCATTTCAGAACAAAACGTTTCGTTCTACATGGCTGCTTGAATGCAAAAAGTAGTCCTAACTTTTCAGACATGCATGGTATTTACTCTTTTTCGGCGTCATGCATGCCTGTTTTGGGTCAAAGTTTAACTTTGTGTTGACAGATTTACCGGTTGAACAAGGTGACGGTCACATTCCCGACCTACTTTCAAACACCTGTTCACCTTGAAGGTTCATCAGAAAGTAACGCCCCCCTCCCCAAACTCTGCTTGGAACGTAATAAGAGGGTCAGAATGTGGCGGGAAACTAGGGACAAACGGCTATCCTGGTCAAGGGTATCTTCGGAATATGCGAGATTACAAAACAAAAGTTATCCTTCGTGAAAAAATGTGAATACCCTAAAAATAAACAACGACAGTCAGTAGACCGACATTGTTGAATTAAAGTTGCATGAAAATGCTTTCATGTTGAGTTGTTATAACCCAGATATTATATAATATATGAACAAAGTTTTCATCAAACCAGCATAACTTGAAACTCGTCCATGAAATTGAAGCGCATACAGCCACAGTATTGTTTTCGTCGTTGGAGCTTCAGCGAATTGAAGTATGACAAAGCCGACCGTCGACAATAAAGCACCATAACTTAAACCGTCGCAAGACAGTAGAATTTTGTATAACCCATTCGCGACGATCGCAAGAACACACTCGTGTCTTGTCGTAAAACTATCGTACAACCAATGAGACATATATACAGTAGCTCATCTTACCTGTGAAGTTTTTGCAGGGGTTGTTCATACTGCATATAGACATGACAGAGTCCGGGCCACACAGTAGTAAACACAACACGGCTAGCAAGGTGGCTGGAACCATGTCGATTCTGTTGACTTGTCCAGCCTACACTCAAAGTTTGTACGAGTTAAGCTCAAAATGATCCGGAAAAGGATCTAAAATGGACAGCCGCAAAGGTAGTTCTACAACCCACCCTTCTCTGTTGTCACTAAGAATCGCATCAAAAAGGACAACTTAGGGACGTACCATGACGGATCAAATTTAGGGGGTGTAAGTTTTTTTAAATAGATGTTGTATCCGAAGAGGAAGGTAGTGGCAAATGGTGAGTGGTAAGGCGCATTAGTTCGTCGCACACATGGGTATATGTGCATGGACTAAGGTGTGTAGTTTTCTGGTATTCGTTTGGAAGGCTCAGAAAGCCCCTGCACTTCACCGCTCGGCCGGCAGGTGGAGAACAAAACGCCATAGCACTAGGGCCTTGGCCTTATAAAAATCAACTTTCCAGGTCAACTGAGGACAACAAACCTTGTAATTGCGCGAAGCAGAGGGTGGTATTTTGACAAACACCAATTATACAGCAGTTAAAGTTCGTCGTTAATTTTTATCGTCACCTGGCATGACCGCGGGAGTATGTGAGGACAACAGATAATAGAATGGGCGCTGGCAAGTAATCTCCAAGCAGATCTTTCGGTGTCTGCAAGCAAGACAGTATCAAATTGGCCGGACAGTATCTATTCTCCAGGCATTTACCACTCAAAGGTTGGCTTAAAAAAGATACCAGTACAAAATGAAACCCCGATAAAAACAGCTAAAAACACGCCAAATATATGCCGAGGACTAAATTAGTAGGCTAATCCGCTAGAACTAATACTACCAGTCCAACGGTATCCGACATTGCTTGGCGCCAATTGTTTACTACACACAAAGCACTGATTCTAGGAGATATTCAGCTACTAGTATCAGAGGAAAGACAGAAAATCGTCTGGCTTTCTACTTTAGGTCTATTTCTTGCCATAATCCGTGTGTCGGAATCGTACTTGGTAAGAGTACTTGGTAAGATGTTTAATATCCGTTTTATAAGTGATCATGCTAGTTCTTGGACGTCCTTGCTAATTGTGTAACTCAAACAACTGGTATTACTTCAGCTCCAGAGATAATTAACCAGTGAATAGTTGAAAGGCGTTGACTTGTTAATGTTGTTAAATAGAGCTTTTGTATTTCGTCTCAAATCGACAGTTCGTTGTAGTTTGTACATCCAGGTATAAAGTATTCGAGATAGACATGTCTGACTTAACTTCGTGCATATTTCCAAAAACTAGTTATAGTTCAGTGAACCATGCTGTAGGCACGCGAAGACACACAAGGCTTGGTTTTTCCGAGTCACTGAAGCGTTAGGTTTTAAAGACCAGGGCTCGAAATGCTTTTTCTGCACTCGAAATGTCCTGCGCCAGACAAGTTTGCGTGCTTTTTCTTCTCTGTTGGGAAATTTTGGGAAATCCAAGGGTAACTTTGACGTTTTCAGTAGTCTGAAGACTGTCTGATAATTACTCTGTTCTTCGGCAAAGTCCAACTCAGCTGAGCAAAATTACGGGTTAAACCAAGGACGTTCTACTTGGTTAAACCTTATTATATTTCAGTCCATACCATGGTATGGATGAAATATATTGTGTTCTCTCATGTTTCTTCTCCTCCGTCTCCTCCTTCTCCTCCTCCTTCTCCTGCCAAACAGTCAAAGTGATTCAACTCCGCCATCATTCAGCCAAATGACTTGAAATTTGGCATGGAGGTAGAGTGGGCCAATACCCCCAGGCGTTTTTGTTTTCATTTTTTTGATACATGCCTTTGAAAAATTTTTATGAAGGTTTTTTGGGACATTTTTCGCCAAAAAATGGATTTTTGGATCCTGAGCCCTGGTTTTACAACCAAATGATCTGAAATTCGGTATAAGGGTACCTTGAACGTGTGTCTACAGAATAGCTGTCACATATTTGGCATACACCACTTCCAAATGACTCATTTGGGGGACTTTAATGGCTATTTCAGGCCAAAAAAGGGCCAAAAGTGCTGCACCCGTTCCACATTCTATCTAAAGAATGGCCTGTTCCATCTGCCGTTGGCCATGGAACATGTGTTCCATTGGGGTTACCTGGGGTCACATTGCACATAAGTCGTGCGTAATGACCCACACATTCAATTTTATGTGCCTAAGACCTTCAAAATGTATCAAGTCTCATCATTGTTAGTATTTGCATACCTGTAATAAGATTAGTAAAGCTTTCGAGATTCAATGTGCTTGTTCTAGCATCTTTGTTCTCAATTACGTAGCTTCATTAATTTGAGAACCTTTGCCAGTTTTGCACTGGGGTAAGTTTGGAATAGTCCACTTTTGCGTGGGAGGGAGATGGACTGAAATATGCTGTATTTGCTCCCAAGCAAATGTCGGCCTTTCTAGTTATTTATTGTATCCCAATTTTACTGTTTGTATGTGACTGTTGTGTAAAACAGGGCCCCATTGAAAATAAGTGCAATCACTTAATGGGCTTCCCTGTATAAAAAATGACGGAAAATAAAATTAAATAAATAAATAAACATAGTTGGAAATCTGGAAGATTCTGCTGCTGGTCAGTGTCTTTATCATATCATATCATATCATCACAGTTATTAATATTAAGTTTATTGAGCTTTTATTAACATTTTGTTGTATAAAAATCATTTGATTTCAATCTGATGCTTTTAGAAATAGTTCTATCTTATCATATCCACACGACACCACAAATTCCATCTTTGTACTTTTCAATAAAAAATAAAAACCAGTATTTTACGAGAAGGTAAAACAAGAGGATGTAGCCCCTTTTGGAGCAACCCCACTTACATCACTGATTGACACAATTCGTTTAAGAAGTTGTTTCGTAAAAATAGTCAAAAGAGAAGATTTTTGTAACAAACAAAATACATATTAATGTTCCCAGTGAAACAAAATACATACATGCTGTCCGTAGTGGAAAAGTAAAATTCATAGTATGTGTTATTTACAAGTAAACCACAGCATATTTTGGCTGCTGCTCCTGTTTGTTGATAAGCGGAGTTGTTTCGGTCTCCTCGACGCTGGACTCCGTGGTGTCGGTCGGGTCGGACTCAGAATGCACCCGGACGATCCGGCGGATCTTGGGCCGGTAGATCTGCCGCGGGGCCGGGCAGCAGTACCGCCTGCCGGTTACCACGGTCACGACCAGCAACAGCCCCGCTATCATCATGCCCCCTACCAGCACGCCGTAGAACTGCAGGAACCCCAGGCTCTCCCACCAGGCCAGTTCTGCATCAGTGTGAAAATCAAAGACGTCAAACATTAGGCTACAAACTACGTGAGGCGTCTCTTTATTTTTAGGTACCACCCATAAATAGCTAGAACCAGTCTACGATACAAAACAAGCAACTCAGACTCAAACTGTTTTCCGTCAGCGACATTACATTTTGCCTCACACTAGTAACTGAGATATCAGTATGTTGTATGGGATAGGGTTAATTCAACTTACTACATTATAAAAATGACCAGAACATTTAGTTTTGCGAATGCTGCACAGAAATTGCATTAGATGCCTTTAAAGACAATATACGCAGACTTCTGATGCGGCGGCGGTAACTTTTTTTCGGGGAGCGACGCGAGTTATGCCGCGGAGGGACGGTTTTGCCGCCGAGGAACTTTTCTGGAAGAGACGTCTAGTAGACAATGAGTATACAGGTAAACTGTGTACTCACCTGTCTGAATGAGGTAGTCGTAGTCATATCCGAAGTCCGTGGCGAGTGTGAAGAAGTCTTTGGGAGTGTGAAGGGGGAGGAACGGCACCATGTACGACCCTCTGTTGTGACCTATGGGCGCGTTTTCAGCGGTCAGAGCGCTCACGTTCGGTCTGTGGAACACAATTGTGGAACAAGTAATCATGGATTTATAACATTGTATTTAAAATTACTTGACTGAAGGCAAATTGTGACACACGTGCACATATATGCAGATAGTTAGAAATGTCTAGTCCCTAGATGTATCTAGTGTGTTAACGTATATATTACTGATTATGGATTGGAGTTCTTTTTTGGAGGCATAAAAATACCACATATGACAAACTTCACTGAAAGAGTAAGAACGACTATATATTTCAGATCATCATTGTCAAACAATGTGCAGTATATATAACGTCAAGAAATGGGTACTACTCAGGGATAGATATAAGAAACACAAGTCTATCCCTGTGCCCGAAGGCCGTACCTGAATTTCCGGAGCCAGATCTCGTAGAGACTGTCCACGTAGGCGTGGTGGATGATGAAGAGTGGGTCGTTCGCTGAAGACCCGACCGAGCTGAGAGTCCCGTTCATGAAGCGGTGGACAGTGTTGTGCAGGTAGCTCCGGTTACTTGCAATACCTACAGAAGTCGCCAGGAATACACGGTAAAATATACTATACTAGTAGTACAGTATAGCGACAGTGATGTAGTCCAGAATGGCAGGAAGTGAACTTTGACGTTTTATGTTGCCAAAAAAGTTTTCTTAATTAGAAAATGTGAGTAAATGCCCAAAATTCTACCGATATAACCGACAATCAACCAAACTAACAAACAAATAAACATACAAACATACAAATTAACAGTCCCAAAACAAAATCCCCAATAGTGGAGGTACACAAACCATCCGGTGAAGCGAATCCCTCCAGTGTGTTTCTGAAGCTGAAGTTCGCCGTCCTGTCGTAAGGGGGCGGTTCGTACTGATCCAGCTCCAAGACGGCCCGGACGTCCTCGAAGCTCGGAAGGGTCGAGTAGTCCGGAACGGTCCCGGGATTCCGGAGAAGCGGTCCTTCCGGACTGCCGTCACAAACCGTCCGGAGTTCGTCATACTCGTCATCCCGCGTACAGATGACCTGGGGGGTCGTGCACGTGTCAATGTTAACATGGAAGGGAGGTGGGGTGGCTGACAGGGTACACAAAAACGCACCTGTTCTAGTTTTAGGTCCCTGAGTTATTTAGCCATCTAAAAAGTAACAGATATCTAAGGCATGATAAGCCAAGTATGTGTGTGTCGCGATCTTTCTGTCACGCATCGTATGGCATCGTAGAGCAAAACACACAGCAAGCAAATAAAAGAAACAAGAGAAATGGCGAGCGAGTATTTTTGTATTGTAACAGTCAAAGTTGAAGATATTTAATTTCCACAATTATGCTTGCGCTTCAAACGTGAATTATGAAAAAATGACTTGGTGGAAGACATAGGTTTGAAGTTGAAAAGCACAGCTTCATGAGCAAGCACCAATGTATAGTAATCTAATCAATGATGAAGATTTGTACATCGTGTCAGTACTAGTAAATATTATCATACCTGCCAGTCTGAGAACACGGACCCGTTACTGAGGATTCCGCTGAAGCTCTGAGGTGTGGCCCCCAGGAAGTCATCTGTGCAGACGTCACCTATACAACAGGGCAACACAATTAATACCTATAACGTCAGCGCTGCAGTACTCAATTATTCCGCTAAGAACGTTTCAGTACTGGGGTGACGGAGAATTGCAATCCATATTGTTACCTAAAATTTAGTACCTGGTAATCAGTCATTCAGAAACTCAGAAACAATTTCTTACAGAAGCATTTCTTATGTCGACACGACAACAGTAAAAGTGTGGCATTGAGTTGTGTCTTCTCATTGTTATGGAAACTTATCTTCTCAAACCTCACTCAATTACAGCTTTTATCAGAACAATTTTCTAGTCGGACAGACAAAAGTGTTTCTCCAAGTTAAATTTGTCTGTTGACCACTGCATAAATAAAGTGCGCTCGCGGTATAAGGGCTGTACAAGAATTGTCGACTCCACTAAAATTACATAAATATTTTTCCCAGGCCGTACCTGCTCTGTTCCTTGGGAAAATTTACACACATAATAAGATTTGTAACTCACCACACTCGTCCAAGTCTCGCCAGTCCCAGTACGGGACGGTAAAATCCTCGTCTCCCACGAACCTCGCCAGTTCCCGCTCCCACAGCAGTAAGAAGACGCGGTGCCACGGTAAGAAGCCCGGGCCCTCGTGCGCGAAGTCTACGTTCTTAAACACCCCTCCCTCGGGAAGGAGAACGTTCCTTGAGACGTAGTAGTGCATCCAGGCTAAGACGTCGTACGTCGTGACGTTTGCGAAGGCCGGTTTGGTCCGTTTGTGAGGACGTCGACGTAGGGCGTCACGGGGATGACCCAACGCTCGCTCACGGTGGTTTTGCTCTCGTCTAGCGCCCGCAGAAATCGGGTTCTCTCCCACCACGATAGGTCGTAGATGTTCCGACGGATTAAAACCTTTCGTTCGGTACAGTTGGGCCCTACAAAGCCGTACTTACACTCACTACAGTCGACGCCGTAAAAGTTGTCTCGACATTCACAAGTCCAGTTCCAGTACACAGTCGGCCATCGTTCCCGGTCGTCCGCCCCCACGTAGGGGTAGCTGGGGCTGTGGGGAGAGTCGTCCGGCTGAATCTGACGGCAGGTGCCGCGGCCCACAGCCTCCCCGCAAGGCGACCCTGTCCCGTCTGCCGCCGGCCACAGCGGGCAACACCTGCCGGTGGAGAGGCTGAGGTCGTCCGTACAGGCTCGGGGGAACTGCCCGTGACATGTCCCGAGAAGGAGCGAGCAGAAAACCACGAGAATCATCTTCAGGATAACCTTTTCACAGACAGAAACACCAGTAATCAATACGGTTCCCATGTGACTTTCAATTAAACAGGGGGGCGGGGAAAAAAGAACTCAGGGAGAGTCTATTATCTTCAATGGGTGTTGTTACAATAATAGTGTCCAAATAGTTGCCATCTAGAACCTCTGTATAAAACAGGTGATGTTAAAGTTTTACTTTAGCAAACGATAACACTAGTAAATGTATAAAATGGACAAACAATAAGATTTAACCAAGTAGAACATCCTTGGTTTAACCCGTAATTTTGCTCAGCTGAGTTGGACTTCGCCGAAGAACAAACAGAGTAATTATCAGACAGTATTCAGACTACTGAAAACGTCAAAGTCAGCTTTGGATTTCCCAAGGCTAGCGTATAGCCGTGGGTTTAGTTCTGCATGGGAGAAGGGCAGTCTGTTGTATTGTTACACAGTAGCGGCCTCAATCAATCATGAACGGGGTCGTCAGATATACATCAAATTTTGAGTTACCCTAAGGCTACACCAATTTAATTTGTTGGTTCTCGGATTCGCCTCTTCATTTTTTTCTGATTTGCAAAAAAAAAAAGATTCTGGTTCTGAATACAACTAAAAATGCTCATATTTTGCCCCAACAGTTGAGGTAAATTCCTTTTCTTCCTAGTTGTTACAGTTTTTTCCATCTATCAATGCAGTGGTTTGATTAAAGTTCAAAATTTATACTTTAAATTTTAACCCAGCCTTTTTTTTTTTACTTCATGGCTCATATTGTAGCATTTGGGGCTATAATAGGATGCCTAGACCTGTTTTTATTTTTATTTTTTTTTCGCCCTGTCGCTTCATATTTTTTCTGAAAAAATCCGAGAACCAACAAATTAAATTGGTGTGGCCTAAACAGAGACTGAAGTTGTACAATCATTACGCAGTTTACGTAAGCGGGACCCTAGACCAGTTTTACTACATAGCCCGAGGCAACACGTGGATGTCATATGACTCTTCTCAATTGTCTAAAACTCGGAGGGTGTTAAGAGATCAGTACCACTTGTATCACGGGGGTATACCCCTGGCAAGACCCTATACCCTTCCTCAGCGCAAAACGTTGACAGTATTGTACATGTTGTATGCTGTAGATGTATATTTGGTTGGGTGAAAAAAAAAGATTCCAATGCAAAAAAAGAAACCCCGATAAATAAGCATAAAAGCACGCCAAAAATAACCCAAAACCCAAACCTCTGCTTGGAGAGTACCTTCAACTGAAGAAAATATTTGTTTGAATTGCGTTTTCAACTTTTCTCCGGGTTCAATCAGGTACGAACAACCAACTTTTTTTCAGACTTTTGAGATAACTGACTGTTGAACTATTGCAAGTACAAGTACCAATACACAAGGCTAAAACAACTTAAGACGGTATTTGTGTATGCAGGAGTCCCTCTGTATATTTGAGAAACATTCCCGTGCTTCGCCCTGCTGCATTTAGACAATAGCACGCCCCGAGGCCTGTCATATGACTGTCACACGGCTCGGGTATAGTCTAGTTAGCCCCCAACAGGCCTTTCTACGGCTCGGGTATATATAGCCTCTCTCTCTCTCTATATATATATATATATATATATCAGGCTTCGGGAGACGGCTGGAAAGAGTAGAAATCGGTCAAATAGAGAGATAGCCATGCCAAGGTAGTTTGTCCGTGGAGATAATAGTTTGCCGCTCGGTAGCTTTCCAGCCGTCCCCGAAGCCTGGTAGAGGCTACGGGTATAGTCTAGTCTGGTCAAATCAGACTCTCTTGGGCCCTTTCACGAATATAGTCTCCACCAGACTCCGCTGCGGGCTAGGAAAAAAATTAGCAACTTGCCAACAAGGTAGAATAATTTGCCAGGGAGTTAAGCGACTATGAGAATTCAATTTGCTTGGTAGAATTGAACTCGCATAGTCGGATGAACTCCCTGGCAAATTCGCGAAAGAAGAAATTGCCCCAAACCGATCTAGAGTGGTGATGGAGCCAACTGAAATAAGAGCATTAGAAGTTGTCCTTGATTAGGTAATATCACAAAGGATTGGGTATTACTAGAGATTGCTTTCTAAAAGTTCAAATGCTTGTCTGTGAGGCTATTAAAGGGGGTTTAACAAACCTGATCGGACAGGACATTCAAAACACTTGGCTATCAAAGCTTGCAAGCACTCCATACCAATATCTCAACATTATATCCTTCTTTACTTATAATTTCACACACACACACACACACACACAGACACACACACAGACACACAAACACACACAGACACACACACACACATTATGTACTATACCGTATGCCATATGCAACACAGTATATACTAGTACAAAATGGTTCTGTATTATGTCTTTTATTTCTGAGATAATAATTATAAATAACATAGGAAAGAAAGCCGGATGGTTGGCAAGAAAAAACTTCCAACAACTTGGCACACAATGAACCCTGGGAAAACTTCTATAAGATCAGAGGCTTCTCCAATAATCAAGTTTCTTCTTCATTAAATGCTTCTTACTTTTTACTTTTCGTTATACATTTTACTACACAACACAGAGGTTACAAAAGAAAAATACATCATTACGAACTAAGAATGAATTTAACACTTCACACGTACATATATTATACCCACATTTTCCAACAGAAAATGCCACCATGAATTTTTGACATATTAGTCATTGTCAGATTGCTTAATTGTTGCATAAAATACAAAAAGTGTAATTCAATGCCCAATCTTCATCTGCTTTCTGTAATAATGTTTGAATTGTAAAATATTAGAGATATGACATATCAAATACTTTTATATTATTATGTCCCTGTTATACATGTTAAGCACATATGGTTCTCTGTACAACATGTTGATCGTAATGTATGTACATTAATTTTAGCCTTTACAAAATGAGTAATAATTGACTCAGGCAGAAATCTAAAAATAAAATGTTAACTTCACAATGACATCATTTATTGTTGACCTAATAATGGTGAGCAACGTTTAGAAAATAGAAGAAAAATTTCTGGGGACTTTCAAGTAAAGGAATTTGTTCAGTGCAGAAAACCTTTAGGAAATAGAAAAAAAATTCTGGGGACTTTTAAGTAAAGAAATTTGTTCTATACAGAAGTGTTGATCCTTTTCAAAAAGAGCATTTCCTATCAAAACATTTCAATTCTGGCTGTTGACCCATGACATCATCATATTCTGTGCACATCTAAGAAAATGTGCACGGGATTTCATGATGTCACCACATTTATGGAAAGTGTTCAGAATCAAGCCAACATGATTAAAAGTTGCAAATGTAAAGAATTCACTACAGGAAAAAACATAGTAGTATAACATCCACAGGTGATATTTCCCACAAGTGATGTATTCAATGACAGTGAACTTTGTGGTAATCTAATAATGTATATTTGAGACTAAAAAAAACAAGCTGCTAAACAGTTTGGCCATTGTTCTCTTACCATAAGGCATGTGTGCTACCAACATGGTCTATGGTACAGGCACCAACTTCAGTGAATGTAGACAGACATATGTGGCTTCAACCCGAAGGCATTGCCAAAAACATCAGTGAGGCAAAAATCAGGGTATCTTTCAAAAAACTGACTGGTGGTCACCAGATACTTGGTACACGACAACTTCTACCCATATGATACAGAATTCTACACAAAACTCAGACTTATGTAGTCACTACAAAGTTGGCACCCGTGTCTCTTCATACATAGTCATGTATATATTCATTACATCACGCAATGTATACTTACTTAATATGATTACAAAATGTAGTTCTGAAGCATTTAAACATCCATATGGAGATTTGATAACTGTCTTATTATTTGTTTAAGTTCCAGACAATTCAATACTTAAAACTGCTATGGTTGTATCTTATGTAGGAAGAAAACATATCAAGAAAAGAGTCTAGAATCTTGTACAAGAACAGTAAGTTCACTTGTGTCTACATTCAAAACTATATAAACAAAGCAGTATGTATATGGAAAGGCACACGTCCTACATTATGAGCTGTGTATGTAAATCATCAAAAAATTGTGTGAAGTTGTAATTTTTCATGTTCATTTCTTCACGAACAGGCACTGGCAACTCCTTTGTATTGCTACTTTGGTTCCAACAATCAACTCTTTTTATACCAGGCTACAAAATTTAGGTGACATGAACTTAAATTGAATTTAGAGTAACACACACTTGGAAATGGTTGTTTGTTTTCTTTTGTTTTGTTTGAGCTTTTGATTATTCGTGAAATACTAAAATCTATGAACTATTTGGGTGGCCATATCACTTACTGTCCTAGGCACAAGTGCATGTTGTAATGTGAGGAACAACAAAAAGTACTGCTTCAGATTTTTACTACTGGAATTATTAAATATCAGAAATTCAGAATATATAGTAGGTGGGTGTGGCTCAACTGCATTTTCACTTTGCCTTTGCTTAAAAAAATACAGGAAAAAAGATTATGGAATAATCAAACTTGTAAGCTGCATGCCATCTCATGTCAAAAGCTACTTTCTGCCAACTTTTTCTAGAGTAAAATTGTCTCTATTTCTCTGAAAGAGCCCCAGGTATGGTTACCACCTCCAAAAATCATTCATTTAGTTGACTTATGAACAAGACAAGGTTGTTCTATGCTCAGAGAGAAAGCTTTCAAAAACATGTTTCAGATGCTCAGAAAGAAATGCTTTCAAAAACATGTTTCAGATGCTGAGAAAGAAAGGCTTTCAAAAACATGTTTCAGATGCTGAGAAAGAAATGCTTTCAAAAACATGTTTCAGATGCTGAGAAAGAAAGGCTTTCAAAAACATGTTTCAGATGCTCAGAGATACTTTCAAAAACAAGTTTTAAATGCTAAGAGATGCTTTCAAACACATGTTTCAGATGCTGAGAAAGAAAGGCTTTCAAAAAACATGTTTAGATGCTCAGAAAGAAAGGTTTCAAAAACATGTTTAGATGCTCAGAAAGAAAGGTTTCAAAAACATGTTTAGATGCTCAGAAAGAGATGCTTTCAAAAACCTGTTTCAGATGCTCAGAGATACTTTCCAAAACATGTTTAAGATGCTGAGAAAGAAAGGCTTTCAAACACATGTCTCAAATTCTCAGAAAGAAAGGCTTTTCGAAAACGTGTTGTCCGTTGGTTACAAAATGGCTGCCAGTGGCCAGCGTGTACTACAAGCTCTCGTCGCTCTCCATGGCGTGGAGCTGGACGTCCTCCGCATCCGCCTCGTTACTCGTGTCCACCTCCCCCGGACTCCCCTCACCCTGCAGGTCAAGGTCTAATGGCTGCTCATCCATGATTGTTACTGAATCTTCCCCTGGAAAAAGTGTGCAAGTCCAAAATTAGCAGTAGATTACGAACCAAACAAAGAGTTACAAAGAGGCAACAATTCTGACAGATGCATCTAGTCCTACTGCCCATCCATGATCGTTACTGAATCTTCCCCTGGAAAAGTGGAAAGTCCAAATTAGTAGTAGCCTACGAGCAAAAGAAGGAGTTAAACTCAGGAGGCAATGAAAATAGACAGATGTTTCTATTCTCACTGCTCATCCATGATTGTTACTGAATCTTCCCCTGGAAAAGTGGACAAGGCAAATTAGTAGCAGCCTACGAGCAAAACAAGGAGTTAAACTCAGGAGGCAATGAATCTGTAATATCAACTGACAGATGCAACTATTCCTACTAAAAAAATAGACCATACTTCAACTGATCTTTTAGACAATGTTGTGTTTCACAATCTTACAGACTGGGAGGTTCTTGGTAACGACATGTCCAGTTTTCAAACCATAGGAGTGACGGATATACTGTATATGAATAATATATGGCTAAACTACGCCCCCCCCTCCCGACCCCCAAAGTTCCCACTCACAAACGTACCGGCATCGTCTGCAGTGATGTCGTCTTCTGTGTCCATCGTGTCGTCGTCTTCAGGCAGGTACCTCTTGTCGATCGCCTCCTTTATCTGGTTGTTGGCACCTTTAGGGTCCAGGTCCATCGCCCAGGAGAAATTCATCAGGGCAAGATGAGTCTGTCCTAACTTCTTGTACACCTGGGGGTGGGTTCACAAAACCTTTAGCTCAGAAATCTCATTCAGTGGCATATGTTGTCTAGCTGTGGGATGCCACCTAGAGACTATATTCAGTACTGCAACCCCCACCAAAAATCCTATTTCTCAGTATAAATGAAAAAGTTAAGAGGTGACAAATTCTAGGGCAGTGAAAAACAAACGTGGCTACCATGTCTGAAAATCAGATTTCAGTGGATATTCCTCAATATTGTAAGATTTCAGAGCCTTACCTTGCCCATAAGGAAGTATACTAAGGATTCCTTGGGTACAATTTGTTTCAACTCTTCCAGCTCCTTCAATGCATCCTGAAATAGACACAGAACAGCAACATATTACAAAATATGGCACTTGGTAACACACTGCTATGTAAAGTAAATTACTGACTATGACTCAAAGTGCACTGTGCCTGTAAAAAAAGCATACAATCTTTTAGCAAGTTGAGTAACCTAGAAGAATGATGCACTGTAGTACCTTGTATCTTTCCGTAGCAAATAGGATGGAAGCCTTGTGGAATTTACAGAGCGGGTTCTTTGGGTCTGCTGTGATGGCCTTGTTCAGGGTCTGTAGGGCACTGTCTGACTTCTGAAGGGCATGTTGCACCTGGAACAACAGGAAATACACTGTGTATCTGGAACAATTGGTGGTATCGCTTACTTTGCCCTGTTTTTTTTCTTCTGCCACAAACTCATTTCACTCCCAAACTGTTGCCAGCATTTTCACTGCGTTGATATATATGATACTGTTGTTTGAACAACAACCTCAAAGATTCTGCAAACTCCAGAAAGATGTACTGTGAAAACTGAATATAGTGTAAAAACTCACCACTCCGATGTGACAGAGTAGAACAGAGCTGAAAGGGTTGATGGCCAGGGCTTTCCTGAAGTGGATCTCAGCCAGACTAAACTTCTCCTGCTTGTAGTAGATCATCCCAACTCCATACCTAAACACACATATTCAAACATTGTTATATTATTGTCTTATATCATAGTGAAACAGCCAAGTGACAAGTTTTTGCCTTGCATTCAGTAGGTCATGAGTTACATGTAAATCCAGGCTGAGTCAAATGAAAGACTTTAAAAATGGTGCATACTGCTTAGCACTTGGGAAAGGGTATGGATTAGTGCACTTCTGAAGTGATTGCATAACTGTGTGGCCCAAGGGCTGTTGAACCAGAAATGGGCCCTGCAAGTTCAATGTAAATTTAAAATAGTGGTGGACCGTGGACAATACAAATGGGTCACACAGTAGAGAATATGGCAAGTATTTAAGTTTAACATGAATGGCTATGTTTCCTTGGTGCTTTATCACAGTAGACTAACCCACCATGTGTAGTGCCTTGGGTATTGTATGACTTCAACTTAAAGTCAACTTTATTTTGCTTATGTTCACTCCCAGGCACACTTAACTTGCAAAGTAGACAGGAAATTCGGGGGGACTTTTCTGGATCCAAAAGCTGGGACGTGTGCCTGATAAACAAAAGTAGGGCTGACATTCTGATGTTAATTATTTTTCTATTGTCCCAAAAATGTCCCAAAGTGTCTTTTTAGTTGTCCCAGCCTAAATTCTAGTGGTCAGTGGTCATTGGACCACCTTTAATGGACCTATACCATTATTACGTCACAGTTTGTTTACCTGTTCTAAAGAACTTTCTAGAACGGTCAGTTAAAGAATAAAGATCATTTCAAAGTTTTCAAAGTAAGGTATGTCTGATTTTTTGCTGCGTCTAGTCGTGTTGACACAGCATTACATGCTGCATGGGTGACGTTAGACGAAAGTAGTACTGTATTAAAAGCCTTATATTAGGCTAACGCTACACAAACACACACCGCGCTACGTAATCCTGTACAATATAAACGTCGATTGACCGGCATTCATTGCGGTAAACAAACTGTGACGTAATAATGGTATAGGTCCATTTCAAGCCCTGAACCCACCATGCGTTGTAGTGCCTGGGGTCGGTGCGGATGGCGTTCCTGAAACACGACATGGCCTTGTCTAGCTCCTCGTTCAGCACGTACTCGTGTCCCAGCAGCGTGTACGCGTACGCGAAGTTGGGCTCCGCCTGGATGGCTCGCTGGAAAAACTTGATGGCCGTGTCGTGTTCTCTCTGCAGGGAGAAACAGTTTCCCACAGCACACCAGGACTGAGGGGGGAGGGGGGCAAATAAACAAAACATTAACCACTCTGCTTAACCTTCAGCCTGCTAGGGCAGCCATTTGGCACCAAATTTGTATCAGATATGGAGCTAGACAGCAGGGAGAAGGTTAACGATTCTTGACCTTTTCACTGAACATTGAC